TCTCTTAACAGTGAAATGTATCATTTCACAGTGTTGGCACTATGTAACCCCGAGTGAATTAACACTTCGCTGTTGACACGACGTAACCCCGAGTGAATTAGCACTACGCTGTTGACATTACGCTGTTGACACTACGTAAACCCGGGTCAATTAACACTATGTTGTTGACACTACGCTGTTGACACGTAGCCCCGAGTGAATGAACACTACGCTGTTCACACTACGCTGTTGTCACTACGCTGTGGACACTACGCTGTTGACACTACGCTGTTGACACTTCGCTGTTGACGCGACGCTGTTGGCATTCAGATGCAAGAGGAGATGCTCTACGCTCCTGTCTCTGACACCACGCTGCTGACACTACGCTGTTGGCATTAGGATGCAAGAGGAAATGCTTTACGCTCCTTTTTCTGACATTACGCGGTTGGCATTAAGAGGAGACGCAGGAGGAGATGCTCTGCGCTCGTGTCTCTGACACTAAGCTGTTGGCATCCAGTGGAGATGCGAGAGGAGATGCTCTACGCTTCTGTCTCTGACGCTACGCTGTTGGCATTAAGGGGGTATGTTCTACGCTCCTGTCTCTGACGCTACGCTGAGAGGATATGCTCTACGCTGCTGTCTCTGACACCACGCTGAGAGGATATGTTCGACGCTCCCATTTCTGACGCTGCGCTGAGAGGGGATGCTCTACGCTCCTTTCTCTGGCACTGCGCTGTTGACACCTACGCTGTCGGCATTCAGAGGAGCAGATTTACGGCCCTATCTCTGACACTGCGCTGTTGACACTACGCTGTTGGCATCAAGAGGAGCAGATCTACGACCCTATCTCTGATTCTGCGCTGTTGACACTACGCAGTTCGCCTTCAGAGAAGCGGAACTACGCTCCTATCTCTGACATTGCGCTGTTGACGCTACGCTGTCGGCATTCAGAGGAGCGGCTCTACGCCCCTATCTTTGACACTACGCTGTTGACACTGCACTGTTGAAACTACGCTGTTGGCACGGAGATGTTGACACTACGCTGTTGGCCCTGCGTTGTTGACACTGCGCTGTTGACACTGCGCTGTCGACACTGCGCTGTTGACACTACGTTTCTGACACTACGCTGTTGACAGTGCGATGTTGACACTGCTCTGTTGACACTACGCTGCTGGCACTGCGCTGTTGACACTACGTTGTTGGCACGACGCTGTTGACACTACGCTGTTGACACCACGTTGTTGACTCTACGCTGTTGACACTACGCTGTTGACGCTACGCCGTTGACACGACGCTGCTGACAGTACGCTGTTGACACGACGATGTTGGCACTGCGCTGTTGACACTACGCTGTTGACACTACGCTGTTGACCCTGCGCTGTTGACACTACGTTGTTGACACGGCGCTGTTCAACTTACGCTGTTGACACGACGCTGTCGACACTACGTTGTGGACACGACGCTCTTGACACTACGTTATTGACACTACGATGTTGACGCTACGCTGTTGGCACTACGCTGTTGACATAACGCTGTCGGCACTACACGTTTGACACTACGCTGTTCACACTACGGTGTTCACACCACGCTGTTGGCACTGCGCTTATGACCCTGCACGCTTGACGCTGCACTGTTGACGTTGCGCTGTTGACACTACGCTGTTGACACTACGCTGTTGACACTGCGGTGTTGACACCACGTTGTTGACACCACGTTGTTGACACTACGCTGTTGAAGCTACGCTGTGCGCACTACGCTGTTGACGCTGCGCTGTTGGCACTACGCTGTTGATAATACGCTTTTGACTCTACGCGTTTGACACGACGTTGTTGACAGCACGCTGTTTTACATTGCGCTGTAGACACTGCGCTGTTGACACTACGCTTTTGACACCACGCTGTTGACCCTGCGCTGTTGACATTGCGCTGTTGATACTACGCTGTTGACACCACGCTGTTGGCGCTACGGTGTTGACACTGCGCTGTTGACACTACGCTGTTGACTCAATTCACTGGTAAGACGCACTCTCGTTGCACGCAGCTGGCTTCAGCCCCGCAAGCAGGCCCCCCCACGCCCCGCCAGACCGTCCGCCCCGACGGAGGTACCTTGAGCTCCCCAGGAGCCTCAAGAGGCCCGAAACGATGCGGAATCGTGCAAACATCTCAGTGTTCCTAATCCCTCCTTCTCGTCCTTTTCCTCCTCCTCCTCCTCCTCCTCCTCCTCCTTCTAATCCCTCCTCCTCCTCTCCTCCTCTCCTCCTCCTCCCTCCTCCTCCTCCTCCTCCTCCTCCTCCTTCCTCCTCCTCCTCCTCCTCCTCCCTCCTCCTCCTCCTCCTCCTCCTCCTCCTCCTCCTCTCCTCCTCCTCCTCCTCTTCTCCTCCTCTCTCTCCGAATCCCTTCTCCTCCCAATCCCTCCTCCTCCTAATCCCTCCTCCTCCTCCCTCCTCCCCCGCCCCCGCTAAGGACTTCTACATGGATGTCAAGCACGCGTTTCCCGAGTTGCGCCTGTACTGCATATCGAGGCCCTTGGCGGCAGCGGGCCAGTGGCGCGCGCGGCGTGCGCCGCTGACGGCGGCGATGGCGCCCTGGTGCTCGCTGGGGCAGGCGGAGCCTTTTCCGTTGTTCTAGAGTTATGTGTGTTGCGGCTTTGCCTCCTCCCGGCCTCGTTCCGAGGCTGCGCCCCCCTTCTCCTCCCCCTTTCTCTTCGTAATGCAAGCTGCGCGCGGCCCGCTCAGCTTCGACTGGAAGAGGTGCGCTCTCGACCCGCGAATCATCGCAGGCCTAGAGATTAACACCAACACCAATTTCGGCGGTGTGCCTCCACCGAGGGAAGGAGATCCCGATCTCGGTCATGGTGGCAATATTCTGGCTTCCAAGGTGGCCGAACTCTTACCACCAACGCCGAAGATCTAGGCTCATCTTCCCCCTGTGGAGGTGTTGGTGCCAATCTCTAGGCCTCCGAACTCAAAAACAGCAACAACAACAAAACACATGGTGTGGCCCCAACGTGCCGCACAAACGCCTCTGGCCGCCGCTCGCCCGCTCCCTCGTGGGCCTCAAGGCCGGCCGGCACGGGCGAGCGTGCTCCGCGCGGCGCGCTTCCCTCGCAGGGGCCGAGCGGGGGCACGCTCTCACACGTCGGCGCACCGTGGCCATCGCGGGGCTCTGCGCGGGGATCGCTCGCTCTCTCTCTCTCTCTCGCTCTCTCTCTCTCTCTCTCTCTCTCTCTCTCTCCTCCTCTCTCCTTCTCTCTCCTTCTCTCTCCTTCTCTCGATCCCCTCGTCTCCTCGGACATCCTCGATCCTCACACGCTCTCCCATCGCTTCCCTCGTCATCTCCCCGGTCCGCCTCCCCCTCCGCTGCCTCCCCCCTCCTCGCCTACGTATCCCCTTCCCTCTCTCGCCCCTCCCCCCTCCCCCCACCCACTCCCGCAGCCCCTCCCAGTCCGTTGCCCTGTCCGCCGCCCTCGTCTGGAGCTCCGCTCCCGCCGCCCCGACCGTGCACAGGCTCGACGCCCCCGGGCCCAGACAGTGGCCCGCGCACCCCGTGGCAGCGGGCGCGCAGTCTCCAGCGGGCCGCCAGCCCTCTCCGGAATGCTGCCGCAGGCGGCCAGAGAACCAGCACACCAGCCTCAGAGACCACGCCATCCGCCCGGGGAGCCCCAGAAAGGTGCCGATAGCGCTGCTCCCCGGACCTCTCCCCAGGTGCGTTTTTTGACAAGGGCTTCGGGGCGCATCCGGCGGCGGCGACGCGGGCCTCCCAGGAGGCCCCAAAAAAGGAAGCAGACACAAGGGGAACAAAAGAATGGTGACTGCATGGGTACCTGTTCCTCCTCCGACCCTCATCTGCAAGAAGGTTTCGTCGAGGATGCGCACTGAGGGCTGCGGCGCCGCACGCCCGCCCCCGCAGTTGGCACAGCCCTTCGCTGCAGTCTTCGCCAGCCACGGGGCCGCGGAGAGAGCCCCCCGCACCCTCGCGCCTGCCCCGCCTTCGGCCCCTGCGAGCGCCGCCGATGGCGAGCAGTCTCTCCCCGTGCAGTGCGGGTGCGCTGTATTGGCAGGCTGTTTCTCGCTGCCGTTCGTGCCGCCGCCGACCCGGCGGGGCGCGTTCAACAATTCGTTCGAGACGAGCCTGGCGCGGGGCATCCCGGCGTCGCCGATGGCGCGCACCCTCTTCCCGCCGACGGCGAGCGGCGCGGATGACGAGTTCGCCCCCCTGCCTGCCTGGGTTGCTCCTGGCTTGCTCTCGCACTCCGATGCCAATGCCTAGCTAGGACTCCCATTTTGTCGCCGAATGCGTTCGGCCGCACTCATCCACTGACCCTTCCACCGCTCCTCTGTGGGCTTCTTCGTTTTTTCGTCGCCTTCTTCTAAACTGTTGTCCGCGGCACCTCAGGAGGAGAGGGATGAGGAGGAGAATGATGATTGCCCCTCCGGAAACTCCGAAAACTTCGATTGGAAGCCACCAGCAACCCCCAAGAATGCCCCCTATATTGTTTTCCTCCTCCCTCCTCATCGTTACCATGGTCGACATCAGCATCATGATCAGTATCATTAGCATCTCCAGCAGCATCATCATCATCAGCATCATCATCAGCATCATCATCATCATCATCATCATCATCAACATCGGCATCGCCATCGTCATCGTCATCAGCATCCTCAATCAAAAAATCAGCATAGCTTCGCCATCCCCATCATCGTCATCAGAATCATCCTCATCATCATCATCATCATCCTCATCATCATCATCATCATCATCATCATCATCATCATCTTCAAGAAGTCAAGAAGACATTGAAGCCCCAGTTGGGCCAGCCCTCACTGGCCGACGCCACTCTGCCCCTTCAGCAGGAAGTGGCGGCACGGCTCTTCGCGGTTGCCAGCCAGCCCACTACGGCACCTCCGAGCACGGCAGCGCCATGGGCGCCACCTTCAGCATCCGGCGACCTGACTGATGCCCAGCGGCAGGCCCAGATGAAGCAACTCGAGGCGGCGCCCATCCCTCAGCAGGGGGCTCGAGCACCAGGAGCTCTTCACCAGGATCGTCAAGCAAGTGGCCCGGCACAAACGAGCGCTGATCTCGGACAAGCCCCTGGGCGAACGCGGGGACAATTGCAACGACGCCCTCGAGCTCCCCGAGAAACGCACCCCTAAGGCGAGGGGGGCATTGTCCTGGGCGGGGTAAACAGCACAGGCGGCAGAAGCCGAGGAGCAACGCTTGACACAGGAGCTGACGGACCTGGTCCACGAGCTGGCCGAGGCCCCAATTCCCGTACTCTAGCGGGCCTCTACTTCTACATGGTGAGCAAGGGGGCGCCTTCGTACGTTCTCTGCATATGCATCAGTCTGTTCTTGATACCATGGTACAGCTTGGTGCGATTTGAGTACAGCTTCCCGTATCCAAGCACTTCATGGCGGGTTTGAACGTGTACCGCAGTCATCCGATGCCGAGGACATGACGAGCTGGGCTTCCCCCGTCTCTACTGGGAGAGCCTTTCGGCTGCGGCACAAGTGGCACGCTTGCAACGCGCAGACCACCCCTGGCGAGGTGCGCATGGCCGCACAAGCGAGAGCATGTCCGGATTGACCCATATCGTTGAGAAGCTCAGACCGGAGAAATGCCACATCCCCTTTCTCAACGACATCACAGGCCCCACGTGGTTGCATCAAGAGAAGGTGCAGCTTTTGATTGTTGAACTCGATGAGTACACGGTGTTAATGAGTGGCAAAGATGCGATTATCTGGTCTTGGCGCATGATTACGAAGTGGTAACGAGCTGGGTCAGAAAATTGCGTCGCTTCCGACTCCGTCCGGTGGCTCGGCTTGAAGACCAGGTTGAGAGAGCAGAGCTAGATCATTGTATCTCATTGTGTTCCTACTCACCAGAAACCAGGCGAAGGGGCGGACCACTGTTCGGGAAAACGAAGAGGTCGGGGGACAACATCATCATCGGCGAGGCCGACCGCGGCAACGGCTCCATTGGCAAGTTTACGACGCGTGTTCCGGCTTCGGCCATGTCGCAGCAGTCGCAGGATTTTGGCGAGAGGGAGGGACTCGCGCACGTGGATTCCAGCCTTCAGCTGGCGCACCGTGGAACATCCTATCACGACGCGGCGAAGAAATGGCGCTCGCCGTCGCCGTGGAGGCGATTATCGCCCGTGGAGCTCGCGCCGCGCGATCGCCAAGGCAAATTTAACCCCGCGGGCGCGCAGGTCACCAAGGCTGATCCAGAGCCTCAGCTGAGATGGAGATCGGCGCGAGAGCGACGAGAGGGGGCTCTACATCTGCAGCAGCATCGGATCCAGTCTTGCGAGAAGAAAGCGGGACCTACTTACAGGGAAGCGGCGAGTATTTCCACGGCGGCAGCAGCAGCGGCATTTGGTCGCGGCCACCGGCTTTGCGGTCTGCCCGTTCGTTGGAAACGCGAGCCAGATGTCTTGAAGGGCAAGCAGATAGTGGGAGCAGGTGCCCCGGCCGAGCGCCAGACGGTCACGCGGTGGAGCGGGCGGAGCGGCAATTGGGGGAGATGTTGACAGGGGAGGCGATTGGCGACCTTCGCAGACAGCTCGATCGCTCGGTAGCCCACCGCGGGACGGGGAAGTACGACTCTTTCAAGCGAGGGCATCGCATTTATGTCAGTGCTGATTCGGTCGAAGATGTAGAGCACATGGAACCGGAGGACTGCGAGAAACGCTGCGAGAACGTTGGCGCGGAAGTGGCCGCGCCCGCCATCGACGCATCCAGCGACTTGTCTCAGCGAGAGGCGAGCCCCGACTTGGACGCGGCCCCCAGCTTCGATGAGCTCCAGGAGACCAGCGGGAACGCGCGCGCGTCTGCAGCCGGCAGGGGCGAGGACGTCATCGGTGCGATAAGAAATGCCCCGACGGCGGAGCAGAGGACTGCCCGCGATCCTGCGCGCAGAATGCGGCTGGAAGCAAAAGCAAGCGGCCCGCGGCCTCGTTGGGGCGAATCAGCTCACGCGGCGATCGATCCGACGTTTTATTTGAAAGAAGAGCGAGGCAGGACCGGAATATTTATCGCGGTCTACGGTCGTCGAGCATGAGCGCGCGCATCCTGGCGCGGCTGGCAGTCGAGCGCAGAGCGATCCGTTGAGAGTTCTTCTTTCTTCGAGCAGGAGCGGCGGAGCGTCCAGCGAGGGCGATCTACCGGGGGCGCGGTTGTTGCTGCCAGAATTGCGCGCGAGCCACGTGCACTGCGGGGGCGGCGCCTTCCTTCGCGGCGCGCGGCGTACCAGAGAGAGAACATTTGGAACCATAGGCAGAATTTGCAGGCGCGCGGCCCACCAGCATATGCAGGAGTAGCGGGCCATCTTGCGCCCGGTGGAGATCAATAGTGCCCGCCCCTCTGCTCCTCGAGAGCCCCTGTGGCGAGCTTTGAAAAAAGGAAGGTTTGCCACCCAGCGTCGCCGCAGTTGTTCGGCGTCTACGTGGAGGGGCGACGGGCCACATGAAGACGCACGTCGGCCAGTCCGATCCGCGCCTTTTCCGGCGAGGCCCGCG